GTCCCAAGGCAACTCTTAATCAACGCGCCACTTGGCCAGCCCTAAAATGAACTTATCTATGTTACAAATATATTTTGTACCTATGTATTTATAAATACAAAATCTAAAAGGATATGAATTATAATCTTATCCAGATGTATTACACGTAATTTTTAAATTTTTGTTTGCCCACATTTTCTAGTTTTTTTCTGCAATGAATATATGTGAATACTGGATGGATGGATGGATGGATGGATGGATGGATGGCTGGGAGAACGATGGACAGTATCCAGATTCAATGGAAGGCTTCGGTGGACATCACATTAGATCGCTTTCTTCTCTTGATCTTCTCCTGCCTTCAATTACTAGAATCCAAGACTTGCCCCCAAAGCATCTTCTTTCTCCATTTCTAAAATCACCTTGATTTTGCTTAGGCTCTTCCACTACAGGAGAGGCAAGTTCATTAGCAAAAAGTAGAGCCAGGACTATTGTGATTCCAAACAAATCCCTCTCAACGCTAGACTTTCCAAACCACACACACAGAGAAGAATGACTGTCAGAAATATTTATTGAAATTTTAGCTAAATAACAGTTGCAAACAAAATAAATTATTTTTCTAAAAAGAGAGATGGATAAATGAGAGGGAAAAGAAACATTACTAGTAGGGTTTGAGACTACTCCAAAGATAATGCGGCTCAACATTTCTAGGTAGTGAAATTATCTGGCTTTCCAGGCCAACACTGAAATTCCTGGCCCAAGGCTCACGGTGAGGTCAGAGTGGCTTGGTCCACACTTAGCAGAGGTACTGCTCTGAGTTGAGACCAGCTCTTTCATATGATGAGCCAGGAGGGCACACATGTGAGGAACCCTCAAAATACACATGCCAAGTCTCCCCCATCAGGACCCACTCTTGTCCGGCAGAGGCTGTGTACTATATTTGGAAAAGATAAGGGCCTATGTAAACAAAAATGTGCCTGCACGCATCCATTCTTAGCAAGTTCATTCTTTCAGTCTTATACTAAATACCAAGCCCTGTGGTGGCCTCTGAGGATTTAACTATGACAAGACATGGTCCCCAAGTGCCCAAAGCTCACAATCAAGTGTCAGAGGCATTTCATTCATTCATTTAAAAAATATGAGTCCTCCTGTGTACCAGGTACTCAGGGTACAGTAACAAGTCCAACAAGATCCTAACTTCATGGAGCTTATATTCTAGCGAGGGGAGACAGGGAAAAAAACATGTAAACCAACTAACCAAAATAATTTTCAGGTAGTGATAAATGTTATGAAAAAAATATATAGGCAAGTAATGGAATAGAAGAGAGACTTTGTGGGGGCCTATATCTAGGGTGGTCAGAGGAGGCCGCTCTGTGGAGACATCTGAGCTGTAAAGTGCAGGGTGAGGAGCAGCCAACCCGGGACGCCAGGGCACAGACCCTGCAGACACCAGGAAGCAGACAAGAATGCAGAGTGGCAGTGGTCACACTCAGAGGAAGCATAGGGTATGCGGCAGGCGTGTGGAAGGGGTCTCCCCAGCCCAGCTAGCCTTTGGTCAGCAGTGATTTACACAGCACTGCATGTACCTGGTTCAGGGCAGGTGCTGTGAGGCTCTCCAGACCGGAAGCTCAGCCCATGGGTTTCAGGGAACTCAGTCTCAGAAGTAACACATGTGAAATAGTTGGTCAAGGCTATTAGGTATGCTCAGGGAACAGGGGCTCCCTGGAAAGCTGGCAAAGGTGCTGAAACTGAATGACCAATGACAAATATTCCTGGGTCTTACTCTCCCCCGCCCCAGGCCCCACTAGCACCTTTCTCACACTCCTGTAAGGGCCAGAGGAGGCCCACGAGCCCTGCCTGGAAGGAAGGGCTGGGAAAGGCCAAGATGTGGGCCAGCCAGGGGAGCGCTGGGCCAGCCACTAGGAAGCCAAGTTCCACTCATTTTCTGTGTGACCTTGGGCAAGTCCCTTCCCTTCCTCTCAGCTTCAGTGTCCCCCATGTGCAAAGTGAGAGACCAGAAGGCCCCGGGGATGAGCCCAATGGTTTGTATTTTTTTTACAACCTCTCCACATGATTACAAAATGCTGAAGTTTGAGAACTAATGACTATAGGATCCTACCTCTTTCTGCCTCGTGGTGGACAGGCGGGGGCTGCATGCCTGCCTGAGACTACAGTTCCATCAAGTTCTCCAAGGTGCCAAGCACAATGTCTGGCACATAGAAGCTCCTCATGGTGGTGTCACAGCCACTCTTTCCTCCCTCCCCTCATGCCACCACCCTCATATCCTCCCGGCGGGGAATGGGGAGGGCGGGCTGCAGCCTCCTAACTGGGTTATTGTTTCCCCTCGCCATACCTGTGAACATCGCACGGAAATAGGGGCTGCAGGCCGCCAGGACCACACGGTGGGCTTCTATCTCGACATCTTCTGCCACAATCATCACGTCACACAACAGCTGCTTACTGTAAGACACCAGTGAGGGGACAAGATGGGTCACAGCACCAGCACCCACCCCAGCCACACAAGGGTATTTTTTCTCCCACCCAGGTTCCGCACTATCGCCCTATAACTGTCACAGAGACTTGGCCCATCTTCAGTTAGACATGGGGGTAGACTCATCAGCCTGTCCATGTCCTTAACAAGCCTGACGTTCCCTAAGGCACACAGAGAGATCCAACTGAGCTGTGCTGCAAATTCAGAGCTCCCCAATTGTCTTCACCTTTCTGCTCCCCATCCCATTAACTCTTACTGAGACAGGGGAAGAGCAGCTCAGGGAGCAGTGGGAACAGCTTGGGGCTGTCAGTCAAGTGAGAATAAATGCTGAGAGGCATGATCATGCCACTGAGGGGTGCCACCCACAAGAACAAGTATTAACAATTCCCCAAGAGGTCCACTGCCTTTGCAGTGCTGGTAAGAGGCTGGCCAGACCTAAAGGACTCGCATATCTCTCCTACCCAGATTTAACCCTATCACCAAGAAGGCTCTGCCCGCACACCACGCTCCCTAAAGACCCTGCGTGAACTGCAATCACTGCAATCGTTAAGAATACTGTAACTGCAAAAAACAAACAACCCAATTAAAAAATGGGCAGAGGATATGAAGAGACATTTCTCTAAAGAGGACATACAGATGGCAAACAGGCATATGAAAAAATGTTCAACCTTACTAATCATTAGAGAAATGCAAATAAAAACTACAATGAGATACCACCTCACTCTGGCATCATCAATAAATCATCAATAGCTATCATCAATAAATCAACAAACAACAAGTGCTGGGAGGTTGTGGAGAAAAGAGAACCCTGGTGCACTGTTGGTGGGACTGCAGATTGATGCAGCCACTATGGAAATCAGTATGGTGGTATCTCAAAAAACTGGAAATGGAACTACATTATGACTCAGCAATTCCACTCTTGGGTATCTATCCAGAGAAACCCAAGACGCTAATTCGAAAAAATATATGCACCCCTATGTTCACTGCAGCACTATTTACAATAGCCAAGACTTGGAAACAATCAAAATGCCCATCGGTAAATGACTGGATTAAGAAACTGTGGTACATTTATACAATGGAGTATTACTCCGCTATAAAGAAGATGGAAATCGTACCATTTGAAACGATATGAATGGACCTATAGACTATTACGTTAAGTGAAATAAGTCAGTCAGAGAAAGACAAATACCATATGATCTCACTTATATGTGGAATCTAAAAAACTGAATGGACGAGCAAAGTAAACAGAAATAGTCTCAGAGATATAGAGGAACAACTGATGGTTGCTACTTGGGAGGAAGGTGGAGATGAGGGAGAAGGGGAAGGGATTAGACAGCATAAATAGGTAACTACATTATTGCCACAGGGATATGAAAGACAGTTTGGGGAATATAATTAACAATGTCATAAATATTTTGTAGATGGTCACATGTCTTGTTAGGGAGACCACTTCATGGATGGGGTAGAGGCTTGATCACTGCACTGTACACCTGAAGCTGATGTTGTATAATATTGTATGTCAACTATAATTNCAGCATCTTAGCTGTGGAGGGCAGTGTCACTGGCCCTCATATGTGGGATCCGAACCAGGGCCCTCTGGCGTCCCAAGCCAGTTCTTAACCATCGCACCACTCAGATGGCCCAATGGTATTATTTATAAGAGCAAAATATTAGAAAGAACTATAATTTCCAACCAATAAGGAAGTTGATTTTCAATTAGGACACATGTGATGCAATCTTATGAAGCCATTAAAATTATGATGTAGATGTGATTTCATTGACATGAAAAGATATTCACAATATACTGTTAAGTTCAATTAAGCAAATTTTCACTGGGCACCTACTATATGGAAGGCAGTGGGGACATAGCAGTATATTAAAAAGGTACAGTTCTTACCCTCATAAAGCTTATGACTGGCCAGGGAAATCAGATATTGAAGAAGTAATGAGATAAGTAAGTAGCAATACTAAAGAGAAGCACAAGGTACCATGAGAATAAATAGCAAAGGGATTTAACCTAATTCAAGGAGGTCATGGAGGGCCTTCCTAAGGAAATGATGCTTAAGCAGGAATGAAAAATGAACAGCAGTTAGGCAGACAAAGAGGCAGGGATGAAGATGGACAGTAAGATGGACAGTGATTTTTTTAAGTACACACATCAAACAGGGCTATTTAACTATGTATTTATAAAATAAACTTTTTTTTTTTAAGATTTTATTCGGGAATTGGAGGAGGGGAACAACACTAGGGAATCAGGGAAGGGAAACAGAC